CCCTGCCTCTGAAGTGCTGAGCTTACGGGTACCACACCAAGCTTAGCTTTTGTGTCAGCGCTTGGAGGTCTAACTCAGGACCCTCATGCTTAGATGGAGTAAGCACTTTTCCCACTGAGTCATGAGTCATCTCTCTAGCCCCTTTGAATATGATTTTGGGGCTTAGGAAGTTAAATTGCTCAAAGGATATAAATTACAACTGACCACACTCAAAGATTAAGATACCAAATTAAGTTTAAAGACAAATGAGCCTTTTTTTTTTTTTTTTTTTTTTTTTGAGACAGGGTCTCTCCCCATTAGCTTTGGAGCCTATCCTGGCACTCGCTCTGGAGACCAGGTCTGGAACTCACAGAGATCCACCTGCCTCTGTCTCCCGAGTGCTGGGGTTAAAGGCGTGCACCACCAACGCCTGGCTTAAATGAGCCATTTTTTATCTTGAAGAATTCCCTAGATGGGAGGTGATGGTATACATCCTTTACTCTTAACCACCGAGACAGCTCTTTAGCCTGCAAATAATTCTTCTATAAGCCACACAGCTCCAAGGGTGGCCAGTGACCAGCAGAAGTGACACCAGAGGCAAGGGGCAGAGTTTTCCCTCCAGTCCTGGGTATAACCAGCCCTCCAGCTACGTTGATCTCAGATTTTGGGCCTCCAGGAGTGTGAGATGAGGCACGTGGGTAGTTTAAACCCCTGGGGTTAAAGGACTTTGTAAAGACAAGTAAATGGGTCCAGCTTTGTTGTACACAAGGCAGACTTTTCCAGAAGGAATTGTTTTCCCTCCATGTTGCAGCTGATTCTTGGAGGAAAAGCAGGAGTCGGGGTGAGAGGGTTAAACCAGCACGTGCAAAGGCTCAGAGACAGGAATGTGGCTGAGGTCCCTTGCTAGAACCTCAGTGGTCCCTGTCACTGGGACATTGGGAGAAAGAGCCAGAGAGGTTCTACAGGCCCGAGTACCATGGGATGGGTCATGCTAAGGTTTGGGATGTTGAGAACCACAGTAGAATGTGAGCTATGAAACATCCACACCCGACTATGCCCATTGTTCTCCAAGACTGGCTCGTTATTCCTTTCCAGACTGATCACAGGTCCACGCTCTGCAGACAGAGAGGACCGGACACTGCACTTAGCCTGCCAGAGATGCCCGGGGAGGACAGAGCAAGGCTTCTGGTTATCTTCATTAAGTTCTCTCAGGCACACACGCCAGATTCTGGCTCTAATTCTTTTCAGGAGTCCGAGTGCATCCATCCATCCTTTTAAGGAAGTATACTTCTCTTATGGCTTTTGTCTCTCAATCCTCCAATCCTCCGTTGCCAGCTCACTCCTGTGAGGTCAAGGGGGAAATGAATGATTCAAATTTCATCCTTCTGTGGGAGAATCAAAGCCCACCATCTGCACGCAGGCTAGGTTACTGATAGTGCACAAAGGGGGCTAGGTGGGAAGGAAACTGGCATTTCCTTATTTGGCCCCTCGTTGGCCATTGGTGGGGTTACTAGTGACATCAGTTAAAGAATGTCAGATGAGATAAATATCTCTCCTGGTGAGTCGTCTTTGGCAGGTGTGGAGGGACAAGAAACTAGAGAGCAATACATTATTTTTATTTTTTATTTTTTTCCGAGACAGGGTTTCTCTGTAGCTTTGGAGCCTGTCCTCGAACTCACAGAGATCCACCTGCCTCTGCCTCCCGAGTGCTGGGATTAAAGGCCTGCGCCACCACCGCCCTGCTCAATACATAATTTCTGTGTAAATGAGTATCTCCTGAGAGCCAATCTGCCCAGCATCCATTAGGGGAAACTGAGGCTCAGGAGTCCTAAAACCTTAATTCAGATTGTCCATTTTCACTTTTGGAGATGGTCTCTCTATGAAGCCCTGTCTGCCCTGGAACTGCTATGTAGCCCAGGCTGTCCACGAATCCACAGAGATTTCTCGGCTACTGGAATTAAAGGCAACACTGGCTTTTTTGTTGTTGTTGTCTCCTTTAGACAAC